TCTCTTCACTTCATCACTCTCCTTTTGTCCCATGGCTACGAGCTCTGCTTTCTTAACTTGGCTCCAAGCTGCGGGTGCACCACATGTTGCCTGCGAGCGATCCAGAGATCGCTCCGAGGGACGGACAACGGAGCCGTCCGGCCAGCGTGCGAGCGCTCGCACGTTTAGAATTAGCCACAACGTGAAAAATAGAACATATGCAAGACTGCGAGATCGAAGTAAGGCATCCTGACTTCGCTCCAGTGTCCATTGCTCCGTGTGCGGGTCCTTGAAGAAGACCGACAAAGTTGCACTGACGAAAATGATGAGGATTCCGATGTAACGACCGTGCGTCAGCTCTTCGCCGAGTGTGAGAGGTGCAATCCTGCGCAAAGGAGTACCGTTCGTCTATCGCTCCAGGACTGAGTTTCGACACATACTGCGGCAAGGTGAGGGAAGGGAAGCTACAGCTACGGAGAATGGCCAAGCGGCATCGCGCTGATGATGATGTTCAAGCCGGTGAACGGTGCAATGACCGAGGCTGGCGCAAAGGCATAGCCCGATACGTCAAGAGCTGGTCCGAGGATCATGTTCAGAAACATGCCGGCAGCGAAGCAGATTCTGCCTGATCACAAGAAGTTGGGAAAGGCCACACGCGGCCTAACACACAGTCCACATGAACTGATTGAGAACCCCTTGCCCTAGCAGCTCGTGCCCCCAACCCGCCCTGATTTGGCCATGGCATGCTAGCCTTCGGTAACGTGTCCTGACTGGTTCTTGAGCTCAGATGTGCGGATCAAATGCATTCCGCAAGTGCCCACCACAAGGCCAGCCAGCACGAGGCCCACACCGACCAGCCACATAGCACGTGGGACTGTCTATCTCTTAGTCTTGGCAAGCTACGGACAGGCGTGGCACAATGGCGGGATTTGCCGGGGCCTTGATTCAAGACCCTTGAGCCAGAAATTAATGTCCCAAGGCACCTTCAACAACAGAAAACGTCAATCAGACATCATCGAAAGTCGTGATGTGGACATAGTCCGATTGAACAAATTGGCTTGCAAGGCGAGTGGCGGCCGTCCTGGTCTTCACGTACGGACTTGGACGGGGGGCAGCCATGACTACGCCATCGTCACCACTCCTCTGAATGCATTGCGAGTCTCGCAACGACAACACTCGCACTTTAATGGAAGAAATAAACAAATTTTTGAAAAGCCAATACAATGTTAAGAATCTAATGGATTGATAATCCAATATAGATAGCATCATGATTCCGACAGTTATTGGCGATAGTATTGGAAATAGTCGTATCTTAATGAATCATATGAAGGAGGAATGTTATCCATTCGCAGGAGCGCTCATTTTCGCTAGAGCCGCAAGAGCGATCGTAGCCCGCCCCCACACATGACAGGCAGGAGCTACCAGCATCTTCCGTGTGCTTAGGAAGACTTCTGCTTGTAGCTACAAGTACCCAACTCAAAGCTGTGTTGGCTTCTAGCCTCGGCCTCAGTGTAAGACTTCCCCTTTCTGCCAACGTGGCCGA